CCGGATTTGCTCGCCACCCCCGGTTCCCGGATTTGCTCGCCACCCCCTATTCCCAAATTTACTCACCACCATTTGATTTTCTAGCCACCCATTGCCATGTCCTGTATGTGAATGCTTTCTCCCTGGCAGGGCGAGATCTTGGGCATGCGCGTGGATCATTTGGAAGCCGATGAAGATGACTACACTGGCTCCTTGTACTTTGATGATGGAGGTATGAGAGGTCTCAGCGCAGCAGTCTGCTGGATTGGCCTTACGTACCGTTGCACCCGGGAGCCTGCTGAGGAACTTCGGCATCCTTCCCTCAAGCAGCTTGTGTCTTCCTTACTTTGCTTACCATCGATTCACAAGACGCAGACAAATGACCCAGCAATGGCAATGGTGCAGCGCATTATCAAACAAAACGTGGATGCCAAGAAACTGCCGGTCAGCTCATTTGAGTGGAGCCAGATCCTCAGCAAGATCGCCAAGAATGTCTCAGTGGCAGATGCGATCAAGCTTTACAACAACGCGCCAGAGGTTCATGCACATGGCGGGTGCGGCTCCTCGAAGGACCCACTGGGGGGCAAAAGTTACCTGCTTCAGACCTGGCTGTTTTTCCCTTAAAGGCGAGAACACATTAAGGGTGCCCCAACCATGTGTAAATAAGATTCAGCCACAATTCTTTCCCAAGTTCACTTCCCAACCATCATTGCACTTTTAACAGGAACGCAGTGGCTCTGGAAGTCTATGGATTGATGGGAAGAAGACTTGGGCCATCAAACACTGGTTGGAGCAAACAGGAGAGGGTGCGTTGGAGGAAGTTTGCATTTCTCTACGGGACATGCCCTTTCAGTTCGGCCCATGGGGCGAAGTGCTTGCACAATACAAGTTCCTGTTTGTGGGATCGGTGGTGAACTTGAATTCATCTCAAGCCACCGAGGCGCATCCAGCTTATGACGAGCCCACAGTTACGGTGGACTGGAGCCTGAAGCTCAGCGCGGAGGCGCAAGCCAACTTGTTCCACAGGATTCGATTGCACTTTGATCAATCCACATGCATAGTGGATGACGTCAAGGAGAAGCGCAAGTACAGACAATCGGAAGAAGACCTCCTCATGGTGCGGAACGTGCTGGCCCTGTGGGATCAGATTAGAGATTTTTGCTCCCCTAGGTTGACTTCCTTCACAGAGATGGACAGGGCTCTGCGGACCAACAACCACAAGGATGCAGACCTGCGGGAGATCATTGAACAGCGTCCCTTCCAATTCGCATTGTCGATGTTGCCCTGTGCACGGGCTGAGGCGCTGAAGCAGGTCAAGGAACAAGAGCAGC